ATGAGCCCTGAACGGCCGCTGACGCCCTGGAGCTCATATCTCTGAAAACGAAGCAAATTTTCAAATAGACGTCATCTTTATTAACAAACCGCATATTTGAAGTCTAAATAACTACATTCTCGCCTAAAAAAAACAGTATTATTTTTTAAAATTTTAGTGGATTTAGGCATCCTCTGTGAGAATTACTGCAAGCAGAGTGATAGAAACAGTGAAACAGTTGGAGTTAAGATATCGCTTGAATATTGCACTCTTATCAGCCAATCAGTTTCAAGGACCAGAATCTTTGTCTTTATGCAGTTTACATTTATGACTCAGAAGATTGGTTAAAAGAGTAACCTGCCCAGCAGAAAAGATGGCTGACTTAAAGGCCGCATTTAGGCTACATTAAACCCAATTCCGACTTTTTCTTCCCATGTGGCACAGACCGAATATGACATATGAACATGTAAACAGGAATAAAGCACATTGATTCCAATATTGTCAGATTATTCGTTTTGGGTAAACAAAAGCTTGTATTATCATTTTTTCCTGCGTTCATTACAAATTTATTTTCCTAAGCTTTTCTGGGTCAGTACTTCTACCTTGAGTTGTTTCGCCAAGCTGGTCATCTGGATTTAGTCAACACTGGATTTAGTCAACAAATCAGAATTGAAATGATCCTCACTGCTAATGGATAGAGTTCATTATAGCAAGGTATTATAGCAACCTCATTTTAACCAAATTTTCTATTTTAACCCAAAACATTTCAACTTAACCAATAGTGAGCAGATTATCATAACAGACTTTAACAGTTCGATTAAATTGGTTAAACCACTGAATTTTGTTCTGAATGCATCAGCAGCTTGTCGGCTGTTTTTCTAGTGTGTTTTTGTGTTGCGTGTGTGTTCATGTCATCCTCGCACCTGCTCCAAACTCCACCAGGACGCTACAACATCTCATTATCGGGCCGTTTTAAACCAAACGCTACTGCTTTCACTTCTGTTTTAATTAGAGAGGCTTTTTCAGAGGTCACATGAAATGAGCTTTTAATTAGTGTCAGCCATCAGTTGATTTCCTCTTTATTGAAGCCGTCTCTCTGGATACCTCTTTGTAGTTAATTGGATCAGAGAAGCACTCACAAATACACATACAAATCACTGTCAAAAGTTTGCAGCAGAAGCAAGTTTGTCAAACAAAAAGAAACTAACAAATATTTGAAAAGATGGCACGCTTGACTGCCAGCAGTGTATTCAGTCAGCACCTTTGTTGCATCCACGTTTAATTAATAAAGGGCCATTAAGCGCTCGTTAACAAAGGGGGATAATATACAGCCCCAGCTGGTGAGGGGAAGTGAATAAAATGAGAGAATGAGAAAGGAGAGAAGACCGATTGGTAGTTTTACAATATAAATGAGGATACAGAAAAAGCACAATCATGAAACTGTAAGAGCAGGAGTAGGCTAGCTGAAAAGACTGACTCTAACTCAGTAAGACACGGACAGGAGATGTTAGTCAAGCCTCAAGGTACTTCTCTGAAAGTTTAGCCTTGTGTAACCTGACAAAATCATCCATAAGTTGAATATAGCATCACAGTGACCCTTATTTTTTTTCTTTACAGTTTGAATATGGCACCAGAATGTCTTTGTGTTGTGGCTTATATATGGTCACACTAGGCTTGGGAGCATAGATGGGAAATTACTTTAAATCTGGGCAATCTTTTAAAATCTGGGCAATGCCACACACTAGGGCTTCTATTTTTAATAAATAATAAATTATAATCACCCTATTAATATTATACAATAACTTTATAATGAATTTAATAAACAATATACTATAAATATACTATTCATCATATTAATTTCTTAATTATATAACAACATAAATAATAAAATGTCAATATTATTATAAACCGTATATATTATATTATATTATATTAATTAACTCATATTTTATATAATGAATAAACAGACTAATTAATAATGAATGAATAAAATATAGGCTATTATGTATACTTTCCAGCAACATACGCAGGTCAAACTGTGACATTTGGATTTTTTATTCACTTAATTTGGTCAAAGCTAATCAAACTTGAAATATTTCACTTCATGTTCAGTGAGTAATAGCTTTTCATCCATCTATCTATCTATCTATCTATCAATCATAAGGGCTTGAAAACGAAAAAAAAATTTTTTTCAATCGGTTCACTCTGAGCAGAATCGATATTTTAAGCTCTCCTTGGGATGGACGTGGGAACTGGAGCCCTCCTTGGGCTAGACTCGGGGACTGGAGCCCGCTCTGGGCTAAGCTTGGGGACTGGAGCCCTCCTCTCTGGGCCAAATTTAGGGGACTGGGACCAACACTGGAGCTGGCTCAGGGGCTGGAGCCGACACTGGAGCTGGCTCAGGGGTGAGGATAAGGGCTGAGAACAGTCTTTTTCTCCTCAACCTCCTCCTTTGGTTAAGGGTGAACGGCGCGGCCGGCGGGCTTGAGAGCTGAGCGGCCGGCGGGCTTGATAAAGGAATGGCCGGCGGGCTTGACTTCGGAACGTGCAGTGTGTCCGGTTGCCATGACAACCTCACACGCTTCCTGCTGCTGCTCTAATCAGATTGTGAATTTGTAGATTTTCTATAGCAAAACTAAAATGTGTTTAAAAGTGCGACTGATCAAATCGTCCCTCGGTTTGCCCCCCCCCCGAACTCGAAGACATCTCTAATTTGACAGTTTACCATCTGATCTCACTCGTGACTCGAGGCTACGTAGGACGGGACGAAACCATGCAGTGAATGAAGGGAGATAATTTTGCAGGAAATGCAGAAATAAGCCGTAATTTTGTTTTATTTGTAACTCTTTGGTAGATACATTTATAATTTCTATTACATTACTACTACTACTACTACTACTGTTACTACTAATAAAACAGATCTCTGGGGGCCCCGAAAGTGCGTGGGCCCTTAGAATCGTCCTAACTTTCCCCCCCTTAGCGGCGCCCCTGTGTGTGTGTGTGTGTGTGTGTGTGTGTGTGTGTGTGTGTGTGTGTGTATATATATAGGAAATGGAAAGCTATTTACTCACTGAGCATGAACTATACATAAAGATAATATGGGTGTTTTCTTTTATCCAAGTTCTCTCCACTTAATATTCTACATAAAATAATTTACATATTGTAAAAGTTTTGACAGGAGGACAGCATGATCAAGTCACACAGATGATGAGCAAATAAATTAAATAATTGCAGTAACGGCAACAATAAAAAGGCTGGAATAGAATTCAAGACTGTCAGGCCTATCCTTCCAGGCAGAAAAACTTTATAAAACTACAACAACTGAAACCGAAAACAAAATTTTAGTACAAGGAATCAAGCATCTAGGTTTTGTAACTTTATCCTTCTTTTTCATCCTCCACCTTAAAACTCAACTCCTTGTTAAGGAGACAAAGAGAGTAATTTAAATCGATCTTAAAGTGCTGCAATTACAGAATCCCAGGCTGCAATTCTATAAGAGGGAAATGGATTTCTCTGCCCATCTGTGCTATATGGCCAAACCATGAGACCTGAATATAAAGCACTGACTAGATAACAAAATCAACCACCTGAGAGCGCTTTCGGCCAACATTTTCCCTTCAGCTTTGTTGTAAAACATATCCATTGTTGTCTTTTATGGCTCGCCGCAGACTCCACGAAACGAGCCTCTGTGTAGTTTTACAGTGACAGAAGGCAATCCTTTAGACGACAGTACCTCCTAAAGCTCAAGGACAGTGAGAGGTCAGGAAACTAGCAGACTTAGTTTTCAGGAAACTTCCACCTGACCTTGAGAAGTACTGAACGGTATTAAACTCACACAGAAGAGCTCTAGATGTCCATTTTAGACTCTACTGAACTGGCAGCACATAATGAGTGAATCGCCCAAGCGTCTGACAACCCAAATACAAGCGGCACGCCATCTACAAGCACATTGCTGGTTTATGAACTAATAAATTTGTGGCTGTTACCACTAAACGACACAATAAATAACCAATATTCCTGAACGGATGACTTGACCTTACTGTCCAGGGAGAAAATTGCGCTTTTCACGAAGAGGCTGGCGATCAGTTTCACGCTAAACTCAAAAGACAGATTCCCAAAGTGGCAATTACCGTCTTGACATCCGTTCTGAGGGAAAAAAGTGACTGTAATTCTTTCAAAAGTCCAAGTGAACAATTACAAGGGTGTATAAAAGAAGATAGCTTTTTAAAATGCAGTTTACATAATGAGACCAGGATACAGACTAGCTTTCGAACCACTATGACAGCTAGCTGACTCAGTCAGCATCATCTGAAGGGTTTTCAGCTCATCTATATTTATACAAGAAAGCGGCGCTAATTTCGGTCATTACATTTACTCTCTCAGACACACGCATTCGGTGACCTCTGAATTAAGAGCATATTCTAAAAAAGACTCCAACTCCACAGTCTAATCCATCAACACACTTGTATTTGACACGGTGAAGGAAGAGCTTGAAATAGGCAATTATTGAACCATCTCCTCGATTTACACCCATCCGCATTTCACCTTCACTTATACTTGGTGGATACGTGCAACACGCCATGGCATCGCTTGGTCAAAAATCAGCACTTTGCAGGCTGCGCAGGATGAATTTGGGATTCTCGTTGCAGATTCATTTGACTGCGAGGCTGAAGAGTGAGAAGTGAGGTACGTAAGGCAGAATGAAAAAGTGCAAGAAGACAAGGAGAAAGTGAGACAGAGGTCTGTTGCTCGAGGCATTTGATCCGGTCCGGGTGTCCTCTCGGATCGCCTGACAGATAATCCATTAAATGTTCCATCCCGCTGACAGGGATGGATTTCAGAAAACGCCTGTGAACACACACTCACATGCTGTAATTATTACTAGTCGTTTAAAAACACATTTTTCTTATGGTACTGGAATAATTGTGATGTTCAATCAAAAAATACAAATAAATAAAGCAAAAGACCGAAGTAAAGTGATTTTTTATTTTTATTTTTAAGTTTTATTTTCAACATTCTTGACCCATTTTAAAATATACATTCACTTTGAAAATACATTCAAGATTACAAAAAGCTAATTACATTTATTGTGGACTTTTAAAACATCTTCATGACAGGCACAGTATAAAAACCATACCACTTTATGACTATTTAAAATGAATAAACTAAATGCAAATGAATATACATTATGAACATGTAATAGGGAAACTTTTTCAATATTGAATTGACTGGTCAATAACACATTTTCATTAAGGCAGAAATATTGAAGACAAACAATACTTAATCTCTAGTTTTAAATTTTATACCCATAAAAAAAAAAAAGTCTCATCTCACTCTTCTAAACAAAATAAACCTTCATTCGGACTGGGACGGTGATATCATATGGAGATTAAGAAATCAATATCAGATTTGGGATGCTTTTCACAGTTCAATCATATAAAAACGAGGCTATTCCACCATATGACACTTTCACCATATTTCATGGTTTCCATTGGGATTAATATGAAAATATTAATTCATACTTATGATCAATAAAGGAAACTTTCCATAAAAAGGCTTAAGAGTAAGGCAATGAATATAACAGTTATTGATTGAGCTATAGAAATGGCTGCTTCCAGACAACAAAAAGGTTAACACGTTTCCCAAGACTGCCTCGCATTTAAGACCCTTTGAGAAGTTGGGGCTTGTGAAGAGGCTCTCAAATACAGCGTTGTCCCTGGAAAAACTGGACAAGATGCCCAGTGACTCTAGCAGGCTGGTACTGTGTGTAGCTGTGGTTCAGCGGGCAGATGAGAAAGGCATGTGTGTGTGAATGAAGTGTGTAAGGCTCTGTTTGTTTATGTCACGGTGATTCTGGCCACAGCCCTATTGGTTTGTGTATACTGTAATAATGGTGTGTATGCATATATGCATTTATTTCTTGGGAATGGCGGCAACAGCTTTCTTGGCGGCATCATCGAGGTCGGTGGCAGAGGTGATGGGCAGCCCGCTCTCAGACAGGATACGCTTTGCCTCCTGAACATTGGTTCCTGAACATCAACACATAAAACAATAGCAAAACACACTTTGGTTAATGGGAGTTTTTAAGCCTTCACTTTTATTCTGACACACATACCAGGGATGCATGATATACTCTACTGGCTATTTTCTTTTATTTATTGACATGTGTTAATATTATAATGTCCACTGTTGGACATTTAACTGTGGACTCTCACTTCCCATAATAGTTAAAGCTTGAGTTTCACCATTGTGTCCACAATCATGTTTATTTTAGCTTAGACATCTGAAGTGTATTTTCCTGTATGTTCATCGCAGGTTCACAAATAATAGTTTTTTTATTTATGCCTAATCATTTTTATCCGATCCAAAGACAAACTTAAATAATTTTTATAATACCAAACTTAAAATCAGCTGCTTATATCTAGGCACACACTATATGAAATAATATTAACAAATAAAAACTTTGTGTGTGTGTGTGTGTGTGTGAGATATTGTTTTAAGAAAAATTAAGTTTAGCTCTAAAATATCACCTACAACAAATTCAAAATATAAATATTATTATATAAATAAAAACAGAAATAAATAAAAATGAATATAATATAAATAATATAACAGAATAGAATACCAAAATATAATACCAAACCAATCATTAAAATAATTTGTTTTTTTAGACCCGCAGATTATAAAATAATACTAGCGAATAAAAAACATAGATTTTTTTTGTCCGTATTTTTTGTTTAGGTCCATAATATCATCCGTAACATTAAAAAAATCTAATAAAATGTTTGCTATAATGCATTAATAATGCAGAACATGATGCAGAAATAATGCCGTTTGATTGAGATTAATTGGAATGCACAATGAAAAAAACGTGACTTTTGAAAATTGTTAACATCGGAGTTATCGGTTTTTGCAAATGAACTCTTCATATTTTAAAATAATATTTGCAGATAAAAATAGGTCTGTTTAGGTCTTCTATATATAAAATACAAATAAATAATAAAACAAGTTAAATCTACAATAAAAAAACAAGTTTAGATCACACAAAAGTATAACTAATATTATATAAAACAAAATAAAATATTGTATTATATAAAAATTAAAGGGTTACGTATTCAACGTAATGATTATGTTCTGGGGTACTCTCCAAAATGGTGGAAGACGGTAACTCGGGGAGAAGAACTGCTGAATAAATTATGATATTATTGTTTTCTTTGTGCACAAAAAGTATTCTCGTAGCTTCGTAAAATTAAGGTGAACCCCTGATGTCACATGGACTATTTTACCGATGTCCTTGCTACGTTTCTCTCTCAGATTCCATCAAAAATATCTTAATTTATGTTCCTAAGATGAACAAAGGTCTCACGGGAACGACATGAGGGTGAGTAATTAATGACAGAATTGTACTTTTTGGGTGAATTATCCTTTTAAGCATAATTTAATAATGCTTATCATTATCCATCTTTACGACAAGGCCTAGGAAAGAAATCTGGCTAGAGTAAAAAATCAGAAAAAGTCATTGCTTTCTCAAAATGCTGTGAGTGGCAGGGAAGAGTTTGGGGAGTGTGTCTCTGCTGGTTTGAAGGAGCAGTAGTGTTGAAAATGCTTTGGGATCGCTCCATTGGCTGAAAAGGACAGGAAATGTTCCATTGGCTGAATGGCAATGGGGTTTTTCGTTCCATTGGCTGGAAACGAGAGTGCTGCGTTCACAGGCCAGGGGGGACGTGTTGGTGCCAGCTGCAGGCGTCCCGACTGAGCACGCACTGTATTATTTTGCTTGGGCCGCTCTTGCGGTAACACAGTGACTCTGAATGTCACTGAACTCTGGCCCCCTGACACAGGGCTAGGGCCCGGGGCCAACACAATAAAACAAATCAGAAAACTACTCCACAGGGGTCAAAAGGACGAAGACAGATTGCGAAGAAAAGGCAGAAGGACAAAAAGTACAGGGAGTGGAAGTTGTGAGATGTAAGTGAAGGAATAACAGACACGTGAGATGTGTGTGACTCTGTTGAGTAGAGGTGAGCAGCTGTGGATGACAGACGTGCTGGTTTCACGGGTGAATGTGGATCTCTCACTCAGACAATGTGTCAAAAACAAGCCTATTAAAAAGATGGATTTCTGTTTTTTTTTTTTTACTTTAATTTTTTTAATGTTATTTTTAAACTAGTGAAGAAGGAATTTGAGCAAAATGTTTAATAATGATTTGCAAACTACAACAGTGCACAGGACGTTTTCATTTGTTTTTACATTTTTAAAATTTACTTTTAAAATAAAATAAAAATAAAAAACATTTTCCGTTATATTTTCCCCCATTATATTCTATTATATGTTGCATTTATACTTAGTTTATTATATATTTAATTTAAATTATTTTATTACGTCAGCATCTTGAGCTTAATTGCACTCTATTTTATATTTTAATAATTTTTTTTCTAAACATATATTTTTGTTTTATTTAATAATCTATAACTATTTTTAATTAAAAAAATTTTTTTATCTAAAAACTTATTTAAATATAATTTTGTATTTAACAATTATATGTTTTATCTAATAATGTATTATTTTATTTTCATAAGCTTATATGATAATATTTTTTTACTCTTATATTATTATTATAAACTTATTTTATTTTGTTTTATTAAGTTATTCAGACTAATTTAAACATGAACTATCATACATTTAAAAAAATATATTTTTAATTTTATACATTATTTATACATTTAAATTTACATTATACAGTCTAAATTTTAGAGAGTGTCTAGGAAATAAAAGAAAAGGGGAATGAGATCAGAACATGATGCGAGTCAGGCTTGAACTTGCATCGCCCACATGAGCACCTCAGCACCATGGATCTACATGCAAGCTGCTAAGCCACGACTCCAAAGTGTTTACCTAAATGCATTATCCTGCATATAAATCTGAACATTATCAGATTGGATCTGGAATTCTACAAGTGCGAAAATATGTCTTTTAATGTGTCTGCACAGTATATCTGACTTATAGTAAATACATTTAAGCAACATACTTACATATAACTCTAAAATATCTCTATGCCAACGTACAAGTATCTGTATACATGTGTGTGTGTACGTGTGTGTTGTTGTTGTCCAGTGTAATTATGATAATACTCGCTCTCTCAGGGGAGAGGATGTTCTAATCAATAGCAGTTTCATGAGGAATTCAATTACCAGCACCACTTAACTACTGATATTTCAGCGCTTTTGTCCGCTCGCACAATAACTCATTTCTAACACGTCTCCCACATTTGGCAGCACAAAACAATCAATTGTATAATTTCATTAGCAGAGGACGAGGGCGAGCAGGGCTGTGTTCTGGGAGTATAGAATATCCGCCGTCCGCCGCTGCTTGACAATGCCGAGTCGTCTGAGGGCAACGAGAGCAAACTTCAACAATAGCATTGAAAAATACTCATATATACACACTTATAGGGATTTTTGGACTGCTCTGATAGGAGGCTCTTAGATGGCCCTGTGTGAGTCAAATCTCTTCATTTGTTATGTATGTGGTAATATCTCACACATATATTGATCTCAGCATCTAAGAGCTGACAGGCACGCAGGTCTGTACTCACTCACTGCCACTAGGTGCTGCTAGAGACCAACTTAACACCAAAACCAAGCAGAATGATTCCGTATTAATTGGCCTATGTCTCTGAATAAAGCTTACTTTAGAGCATCTAATGTTTAAACATGCATACTCATTATGGAACTGACAGAATATGATTATGAATAAGTATGCACAGATAATAATAATTCGATGTTTCGAAAAGGAGTTCTATCAGAAAACTACTGACACGCGAGTTATCATTCTGCAGCATTATCTTAGCACAACCATTCAAAAGTATGGGGTCAGGCAGTTCAAGCAGTGCAAATGTTTTCAACACTGATAATAAGAAGAAATGTTTCTTGAGCATCACATTTCTGAAGGATCACATGACACTGAAGACTGGAGTAATGATGCTGAAAATTCAGCTTTGATATCACAGGAATAAATTACGTTTTAAAATATATTCAAATAACAGTTAAATTGTAATTGTAAATTGTAAAAATCATATTTTACAATATTACTGTTTTACTGTGTTTTAATCAAATAAATTCAGCTTTCAAAATAAAAAAAATATAAAAACAATAAATACATAAATATATATATATCGTGTATATATGTGTGCATGTGATGTATGTATGTATGCATGCGCGCGTGTGTGTGTGTATATATACAGTATATATATATATATATATAAATATATATAAAAAAATTTAATAATAAAAAAATCTTAACAAAAATGTTTGAACAGCAATCTACATAAATATCCACTAAAATACACAATATTGTGAAGACTAAATGCATCCAAACTCCTTTATATCTGCTCTGGCATGATTGGTATGAGGCCCTCTAAAAAAATTTTTTTGTCCTCTTTCTAGTCATATACACTTCACAAATCAGTGTACAAAATACTATTGCTGGTAACCAAAAAGGTGTTTTGGAACATCTAGTACCCAAGTGATCTAGTACTCGCAGCTCCATTTAACACATTTTACCATATTTAAATTCTTATTGAAGTATTTCACAGGCTCCGGCACTAAATTTGCACAGAAATGTAGCAGATTCAGATAACTGGATGCTAAAATAGAGAATAAAACCAAAGATATTTCAGATTATTCCAAAGATAAGATTTGTCTTTGACTTTTAAATGAATATGACACATTTCTTTAGGATAGTGTCATACAGAAATCATAATTTTACATACTTTTCCCTTGCAACAGTAATTTTATGATATTTTTGGTACAATCAAGCAAATTTACACAATTGAAAAATAATATTTTTTCTATCATATGTCTGATTACAATTTCAATACATCTTTATGCAGCTATATGACATGTATAGCCCGTACATTTAAAAAAAAGACGACAAAAATAATTCCAATATTAATTAAAACACGTGAATTTTTAAGATTTAAATTGACCCAGTGTTTTTGAGTGAACAACTTTGTTGTACTTTTGGTCTGAACTGAGTCCCACCGATCCAGCAGGTTGAAGAACAAAATCTTACAGTATACCCAAACAGGATGTTCTTTATGTGTTTTTGACAGTCTTGGGTATCTATATGAAGGAGCTGATTGTGAAAAAGCTGGAAGAAGAGAGTATAGGTCCATACACACGCACACACTCATATGCATCTGAAGTCTTTCTTGGAAAGGTGGGACTTACGGAGAGGCTGGGTATTGAGAAATGGGCCTGAATCAATAGGCAGCTAATACACCTAAACTCTAAGCTGGGAAGCATCTTATAGCGATGTGGCTGATCAGACATGATCAGCCACAGACAGAGAGACAGAATAGACGATCGATCTGTAAGCAGCATGCTGCCTCTTACACCCATTACTGAGGGCTTTCAGGCCACTGTGTCTAATTCACTTTTCCAGAGAGGGCAGGCGAATCTAAGCCACTATTGCTTCAAGGCATTTTCATTTGGATGGAAAATGCTTTGTGAAAATGGTGTGTCAGTAATTACCTTTGCACTATGTATGATATAAAGGCTTTTAGCCATTTAATTTACAGGGCTAGTTCAAAATAAAAATGACTGAATTCTTTTTAAAACGTAAATTTAAATGCATTACATTTTTTTAAGTGAATGAACATTATTAAAGGGATAGTTTACCCAAAAATGAAAATTCTGTTGTCAATTACTCACCCTCATGTCGTTCCGATCCAGTAAGACATTCATCATTCATCACCGTAACACAAATTAAGAAATGAAATCCGAGAGTTTTCTGACCCTACATAGACAGCAAGGGAACTACCACGTTCAAGACCCAGAAAGGTAGTAAGGACATCGTTAAAATAGTCCATGTGACATCAGTGGTTCAACGTGACAGACTTCGACGCACATTCACGAGAGTACCATGATGCATGTGTGTGGTGCTGCTGACGCAGGAGCCGGCGTACTGATGTAGTAGAACCCGGATGCTCTGTGGCTTGTTTGCAAGCTTTGTAGCTTCATAAAATTGAGGTTGAACCACGGCTGTCACAATGACTTTAGGTCTTAAAGGTTTGGAACGACATGAGGATAAGGGTACATTTTGACAGAAAGATCATTTTTGGGTGAAATATCCCTTAACCCAAGGGTTCCCAAACTTTTCAGCCCACGACCCCCAAAATAAGAGTGCCAGTACCTCGGGACCCCCACTTTCCTGTGAGGTGGTTAAAGTATACAAACGTTTTGCACAACGGCACACATGCACTTATAGCATAATGACAACACAAAGGAACAGAACAGTCTAACAACAATAATATTATTTTATAGTAATTTACTCATTACTTACATTTCAACATTAATCTTACCTAATTAGTTGGGTGGGCAACATGCTGAAGTACAAAACTCCATGCTGGAGTTTTATTTTTAACTCAACTTATAATTTTTTATTTATGGGTAAAATATGCTATTTCTAATCCTTTAAAAATTATTTGATTTCTGGAAATCATCTTGCGACCCCCTGAGGGGTCCTGAACCCTACCTTGGGAACCCCTGCCTTAACCATTTAAACTGTATTCAATGACGTACAGCAGTATTTGGCTCATTGCCAACATATTGGCCCACATGTGCATTTCCCCCGAAGGTGCAAATATTATCAGAAAATTAAATATGATGCGCATTTAATTGTGCAAAATATCTTCATGCTGCTCTTGTCCTATATTAAGGCTGTCCTCAGAAGGACAGGGTACGGCATGGACAAACGAGGGGCAGAAAACTAATGGAGTGGAGTATATGTCTCTCTCCGGGCAAAACGACTCAGCTGTTTTCTGCCAATTATCCTAATGGCCAGATGGGAGCAGGCTGAGGCCCAGTGTCACACGAGCACGTAGCGTTAGCATACACAGGTGAGAGGTCCCGCAATCAACGCCTGGCCCCTCTGCTCCTCTCACTGCCACCAAACAAATGCTGCGCCGTGACACACTTGCTAACCAACACCAACAATCTCTACACTTGACAGGCACAGGGTTGCTTACAGGTAAAGGTTTTACAGAACACATTTTAAAAATTAGAAGTTAAACTGGAACCTTTTTTTTATTTTGCCATTTTCGCCTTTATTATGATTGGACAGATCAGCAAAGTGGGGGAGAGAGAGAGGGAAAGGTCCTGAAGTCGGGATTCGAACTCGGGACGCCCATAGCGTAACAGCACTACATGTCGGCACTCTGCCCACAAGGCTATCGGTGCCAACATTAAACTGGAACCTTTGATTCAGAAATTGCATGTTTTGATTTAATTGACATTATTTGGCCACACCCACCTTCGAGCCTAACCACCAGGGGAACCTTGAGCTCCAGTTCTCTGCAGGCCTTGGTGATGCCGTTAGCAATGATGGCACAGTTAACAATCCCCCCAAAGATGTTTACCAAGATGGCCTCTACCTGAATGCAGAAAAAGAAGAAAAACTGGGTGAAAAAAGCTTTATTTAGATAAAAACATGACACTGCATTAGCAAATGCAATCTTTAAGAAGATAAAAAGGCAAGAAAGCAAAACCTTCAGGGTTCTCACAAATTTTTTTTTTTTAATTATTAAGATGGTAACACTTTAGTATAGGGAACAATTATCACTATTAACTAGTTGTTTATTAGCATGCCTATTATTAAACATATTGGCTGTTAATTAGTACTTATAAAGCATATATTCTGCATGACCATATTCTACATCCACTAAGCCTTAACAACTTAACAACTACCTTACTACTATTATTAGTTTATTGAGGCAAAAGTCGTAATTAATGGTTTATTAATAGTGAGAATTGAACATTGAAATAAAGTGTGACCATTAAAATCAATCAATTTCAAAGCAATTAAACATTAGAGTTGAGGATAGTTGGAAAAGTTCATATTCATGATGGACGATCATGAAAATGTCTATTATTTGTAACACTGTATAACAGTTCTGATATTTGCAGGCTTTCCATGACTGGAGAAAACCCTGAACCTCACATGAAAAAAGACCAGCTGCCAAATATGCTATTAGCATTAGCATGCTAAAAACCTTCATGGGGCTGGAAAAGAGATTTGAGGTGCTTAAATCCTGAAATGAGCAGCCCACCTGAGGAGAAGTTAGATATTTGAGCCTAGTACAATGCTATATAATGACCATAATTCCTCAAAAGGGGAAAAAAAAAAGCAGATTATACTTCACACAATCCAACGGTCATTTACATAAATGTATAGCAGCAATCAAAGGGACATTAATGTGTGCAAACACGCACACACACACAGAATTGTTAACAGCTCATGAATGTGTTACTCTTACAAGGTAAGAATTTAAATGACTCAATGTCAATTTATTTCTGTCAAATTAGCAAGTCAACAGATCAGATTAATTTGGCATGTTTACACATAATCTATGCTAATCTGTGGCAGTGACTGCTGGCTGCTTTCGGTGGTAATGATGTTTACATGGTTAGAGAGGAAATCAGAGGATCAGAGAGATATTGGCAGTTTCACCCACAAATGCTGTTACTCGCCTTACCGGCTAGAAACTAGAGCTCCCTATTTTGTGAATATGTGTAGTGTGAACATGAGTTCAGACACTAGCAAGGTTTTCTAAACACTGGGATTTTGAGAACTCAATCATCTGTTACATGATTAAGAAGTCACACATTACGTGTAGCTTGTTCTTTGTAATTGCATCTTTGTTGTAGCCATTTAAAAATCACGGTGACATTATTAAGTTTGTTTATAACAACAACAACAATAATAATATTTTACTGACTTTTTTTGTTTAATGCAGAATAGACAGTTTAAAATGGCATAATTGCTTTTTATTTATCTATTTTATATATTATTATTATTAATTATTTAATATTTATTCTACACATTTAAATACTCAGTTAATAATCATGATTTGTTTTGTCTAAAAAAAACTGTTCATAATGGCATAAGTGCTTTTTTCATAATTTACATTTCTGTTTATTATTATTAATTTTAGAAGTAACAACAACAACAACAACAATAATAATACATTTACAAACAATTTTTGTTTAATGCAGGATAAACACCTAGGTTCATAATGAAATAATTGTTTTTTTTCACTATTTATTTGATAAATTATAGATAATAATAATAATAATGTATTATTAAATATTAATAATTATTAAATCCATTATTAATTATTATTAATGATTATTATTATTTACAAGCTACAACAGCAACCAATAATATCCAATAATAATAATAATAATAATTATTATTATTATGGTTATTATTGGTGATGATAATATTATAAATATACATCCAAATACAAAAAAACAAACAAAAAAAAAACACAAATTTGACAATGATACATAAATAAAAATAATAGGTTTTGATGCCTTCATAAACAACATTTTCAATAAATAAATATAGCGAGTAGCTGATGCTCACTAGTTTTTATAGTGTATTCTGGAAATTTTTAGGCAGTTTCAGTGCAATGCAACCATCTTGACAGCCCTCACAATGGCTGACTCCCCAGACAGTGCAATTACTACTGACTAAGACACACCTGGACACACATAGAGAGAAAAAGAAAATTCATATACGATTTTTACATAAAAAGGGGAAAAGAATCAAAGATAAATCCACAGGCTGCCACACAATAGAGGTGAAAAGACTGAGACAGAAATAGATACAGGCCGAGACCCATGCACAGAGAGGCAAGACAATGCCTCCACCAACAGGTACATCCCCACCTGGCTGAGCTGCCAGATGGCAAATCCACATCTTTACATCCCGAGATATCGCGGACAGCTAGTGTTTCATTGTCAACTTGTGATATAAATAAATCCACACCAAAACAAATGAAGCAAAACACATCTGGCTGTGGTGTTGCTGACAGACTATAGGGCGCCCAATGCCAGAGTTTCCAGCATGTGACCCTGAAACAGCACACGGCAGATGAGTGTGGGGTCTGTTAGTGGATCTGACAGACTGGATGGAGTCAGAAAAGGGAAACTGTCTGTAATGTCCAGCTGCTGATGCTGGAACTGGCAGGCATTTGCCATGACTGCAGAATGTCTACATCTGCTGCGTCCTCCCCATCAATGGTAACGTCTGAGCTACTGCAGTTTACACATTAATGCGCAACTCCAGCAAGATACAGACAGGAAAAAGCATGATAAGTAGAGACACAGTCACAGCTCAGCCAAAAGGGAGTAAAACTTGACCCAGACCTTTCAATTCAGAGCTCTGCTCAAACTGAGAAGCCTATCGTCACAAACACAACCACACCGAAGCATGTCACACTGACTAAAGTATGTCACACAGACTAAAACTAGCTCAGAATTCAAATCAAAAGGTTTAAAATGTCTGAGACCAAATATGTATTCAATATATATTTTTTCTCCATTATAAATTATATTATCAGCACATCAAATTAGTGAAAAGTTGATAATAAAATGAAATAATTCAACTATTTATTAGATTAGATTTTCAATCCCAGAATTTCAAGGTGGCCTTAGACTTTTGGGTCCCAATACACCTAAAATAGCTGACTGAAATACAGGTGAATAATTAATAATAATTAAAAATCAAGGTAACAATAAAGTTTTAAAATATAAAATAAAAATGTGAAAAAAGTGATGAAATTTGTGATTGACATTATTAAAATGAATAAGAATAAAAACGCATTTTATGCATGATTAAAATGTAAATAATTAGGATATATATTATTTTTCCTACGGTTTTATTTCTGGTATGAAAGAAAAAAAGATTTGTGATGTCATTTCCTGTCACATTTAAGACTCACAAAAAATGGAATATATTTTATTGAAATACAGGAAATTAAAGTAAGATCTAAGGTGAACAATGTTATTAATACACACACACACGCACACACACACACACACACACTGTGTATATATAAAGTATATATTAAGATAAAATAATATGGACAAAATAATTTTTTATGTCATTTTCTTTCACATTCGGGTCTTATAATTGGGGTATATTTTATTGAAATACAAGAAATTAAAGAATAATGTCAGGTGATTGTAATGTTATAGCATATATAAAAAATGATAAAATATATGAGTCAAATACAAGCATATACAATTAAACCTGATTTGTGATGTCATTTCCTGCCACATTTGAGTCACATAAGCTCTTTGCTGTTCCCAGCTGCTTTAGGTTTGCTCTGCTCCTCAGGTTTTCCCTACACTCCTTCCACTGACACTAGAGGGCAGCACAGATCCAGGAGCAACAGCACAAAGCCTCATTCTCCACACAATAGTGTCTTCAGCAGCAGCACATTTTTCAAACCGGCCTTTATTGTGCACAGTCATATTTCTTCCAGTCATGCGTTTCCTATTGACATCTATGTATATTAATGATACAGTAGGCATGATTTATGCTTTCTCGTACATGAGTAAATGCTGCTTCGTAAAAATATAGTGCACTTCGCTCAAACTGCCAGTGGGATTCAGAATGAAAAAGAACAAATGCGATAGAAACTGTCAGAGGTGCAGGATCTTGTTTTCCTATTTTTCACAAAACAAACTCGTTTTGCTGTCGGACTGCACCTCCAGGCTTGAACATTCTGAAGCAAATTTCTAGCATATTGCATTAATGGTGAAGTAGAGCATATGCAACGCAGAGCAGGCTTTGCTTATGACAGTGACATGAAAAAGAGGGCTGAATGCACTACAGGTATTGACACAAAGTAGCAGACCACAGATTGATCTAGAAAATAACTTTGTGTGTATATGCTAAACATGAAGCTGTCTTACATTTTATTTTGCTCATTTCAGCTGTCCACCTGTCAACAAGTCAACAAATCAGCTCTTGCTTTTCATAGCTGCAGTAATCCAATTCGTCTACTCTTTGTTGAGTGCAAGCTCAATTTAGATCAATTTATAACTGATTAAGATAGTTAGTCATCTGTACTCCTAAAAGATGTCAAAATAAATGAATGAATGATTTTATTTTATTTTATTTTTGATTGATTAGATTTTTTTAATTTAATTTAATTTAATTTAATTTAATTGCAATGGAATGGAAACACTGGAAGCCTGCTTCTGTCATGGAATTAAACTAAAATAAAAAAAAAAAAAAAATTAAAAGGTAATTGCAACTTTTCATTTAACATTCCTGATTTTTTTTTTTTTTGAGAAATATAAACTTAGAATTGCAAGAAAGACGTCTGAATTGTGCGATAAAAAAATTGCAAATAGCCGTTTTATTCTTTTATACCATAGCAGAAATAGGCTTTCATAAGAAACAATGCTCCCTGAGAATTATAATGATACAAATACGAATGCTCATCCTCCAAAGCCATCTGCAACATAATTAGTTTATTGGCTATTTTTATACATTTTTTAAAGTCCTTCGATATGTTACAGCCAAACGTCTTGTAGAGGAAGTATGTCAATACAGGAAAGAAAACAACGAATGGGA